GCGGCTCCATTTGCATCTTCAAACGCAGGCGAATGTGTGTCAGCATTGGAGGCAGGGGCGCGGCATTTTGGTCAGCGGCATATCGTATGTAATTACAATAAGTGCAATTGCAACTGCAACTGCATCAATGCAAATAACGCAGAATGTCTTGGAAACCTGTCGCTTTTAATTAAAGCCTGCCACGACGCGGTGCCCCGATCTCTAAGTAACTTTTCATGTTTAAAGTTATGCGCACAATTTTAAGCGACAGCTGCCACAACAACAACAACAACATTAACAACAACAACAAATATCACAACAACAGACCCATAAAAATAACTTTTGCATTTAGTCATAACTGCATTTAAAAATGCCTGTTTCGATTGTTGCCACCACTCACACATCTAAGCTCGCCTTTACGAGTATTTTGATTTTATTTGGGACTTTTGTTAACTCCCCCCATATGCAAAAAGTTAATAAATAAGAGTGCCCGACTGGGAGATACCCTCAACCCATGCTTCCCAGCCTCTATCTTCCCACTAATACACACAAACTCATAAACAAACACGCACGCTGCAGTTGCTTGTTCTTCCTTTGCCCCACACTATTTATAGAAAATGCCTTCTTGATTAACTCAAGTACTTATAATCCGATCTTGATGAAAGTTTCAGTTCTTGTATATGCCATATAATTATGTGAATATACCAAAGTGCAAGCCTGCCATCAAAAAAAAGGGTTTTTAGAATTCTGGGAGACATTTAGGAGGAATTAAAAAAATAAAACATTATCAATCTCTTTATACTATACAAGAATCTGAATCGCAAGTTTAACGAAATTTAGTTCAGATAATCATTGAACTATGCTTAAGAAACTACGCCTCAGAATCGATATTTATCAATGTTATTACAATTAAAAAAGATTACGAAGAAGAAATGATAAACATTCCCCTATGCAAGCTATAATCTCTAGTTATTGAAGATTTCGACAGGCGGAAAGACAGCAAGATCGTCTTCGTTCGTAGTCCTAATCAAATAGATGTGCTTTATGGGCTCGGAGCTGCTTCCTTCTGTCCCTTACATAAATTTGCGAAAACCATTCTACCCTTTTTACCCATTTTGCAGGGTACAATAAAGCGAGGAGAAAAAAAATAGGGTAGGCGCTAGCTAAATGCAATTGTATCCCAGCCCAGGTACGACCCACTTCTGTCATGTTGCACGATAAATACTTTGAGATTTATTGTTTGCCACAGTGGCAGGCATAATTACAATTTATGCCCCTTTGGGGCAGCAGCCAGCAACTTGTACAATCTACTACGAAGCCAAGTTCAAAGCATGTTTGAGGAAGCTGTCGCCAAAGACAAAAGCCCATACAAATTGCAAGAGGAAGCTGTCCGTCTCTTTGTCTCCCTCCGTCTGTCAGTCAGTTTGTCTACCTGTCTGACAATTGCCATTATTCTTGCGTGTATTGAAAGTGAACACGAATACCACCAACAGTTATTAGATTGTTAACAAATAAGACGAACTTTTAATGCCCTTGAATATTAAAATGTAATAAGTCTTAAGATACATTAAATTGATTAAAGAAGCTATTACTTTTCACTATGCTTGAGCTTTTATGTGCTTTTCCAATGATCACCCTGCTTTTAAAAGCTTAAACACAAAATCTGTTGGTAGCTTTTGATGTGTTTACAATGCTTAATTATGCTTTCAATAGCATTAATCAGCTTACGGCAGCTTTTTATTAATCTTGTGTTATATAGAGGAGCTTTAACTTGGTTGTGAGTCACTTCGCGAGCTTTCATGAGCTTTCTCCTGTTTTTGTTATCCTTAAAACTAATATATAATATGCTTTCGGCAGCTTTTGATTAATGTTGTACAACATTCAAGAGCTTTCAATGGGCTGTGAATGATTTTGAGAGCTTTCATAATGTTCTTGCTATTTTTGTTAGCTTCTATACTATTATGTTACATGCTTCTACCAACTTTTGATTAATTTTGTGCTATATTCAAATACTTTCCAGTAACAAGCCTGCCCAGCTAACTGAGTTAACCTGCAGCAAGGGTATAGAAACAATTAACTTTCGCATACCGTTTGGCGTGAGGGCATTACATCATGTGGAGTTTAAGCACTTGGGTGCTATTGTTGAGCACATAATTAAGCGCCGCTTAGCTTATGTAATTAACGTCAGACAGACAAGAGCCAAGAGACGAAGTCTAATGAACCTCGACGCGCTCAGCTTTTGGCCAGCTGCGTGCGCTGATTTATATGCGAGTTGGTCGAGTGTCGTTTTTCGTACCGACCAAATTGTGTTTTGTCACAATTCGATCGCGCACTTAAGCCCCGTTTATACGCAGGCCTCTCCAATGGAGCACTCATATTTGTATTCGCATTTGAAAAGTCAAAGTCAGATGGAGTCGCAGCTGAAGCCGGAGCGGAACATGTGACATAAGTCGCCGGGTGTATGGCAATGATATATGAATATGACAAAGCGACATGGACAACTTTATTGGCTCATGAAAAGCGCTGTCACTGCCTGACTGACATAAATCACGCGCAAAAACCCATTCGACGAACCCATCGAGCTGCAAACCCAACGCAGTCAGCGCCAATCGCCGGACGTAGCCGTTGATCGCAAAATAAGCAAAAACAAGAGCGCTCTAGTCGGGAGTGCCCGTCCTTCAGATACCCTGATCACAACGCCGCGCTGTCGTGAGACAATTGCAATTTTGTGGGGAATGGGGGAGGCATTCAAAAGTATTCTTCGTTGGTGTATACGAAAACTTACTCACAACATTTGGTGTATCTAGCTTTAATAATTTGCTAGCTAGGCTCCAAAAACCATATCTCAAAATCGATATCTATCGATATTTTGTCAGATAGTAAGGATATCGAAAAATAAACTTTATCTAAGTATACAAGCATATATATTTTTAACATTTCGTGTCCCTACCTCAAGTTTCCACGATCTACGTGTTTATACGGAAACCATATCTCAAAATCGATATTTATCGATGTTTAGAGAAATGCGATATCGAACAAATTAACTTATTATGAGTACAAGAATATATATTTGCTATTTCAAGTCCCTAGCTCTCATGCTTTTAAGATCGACGTGTTTAAACAGACACACGGACGGACAGAAGGATATAACTAAAAGAACTCAGCTCGTCAGGCTGATCCAGAATATATATATACACTTTATAGGGTCAGAGATGCTACCTTCTGTATTTTGTATACATTTGCACAAAGCCAATACACCCTTGATAACCATTGGATTGAGGGTATCAAAAGCAACACAAGAAACCAAAAAATAAATCAAAAATCAATTTTCGTAAATGTTCAGCGACAAAAAGAATAACGCGACGCGACGTCAAAATCTTAACTGGCATCCATCGTGAAGATCTTGATCTTAGTAGCAGAATATATATATATGTGTGTGTGTTTGTGTGTGTGGGTTTTGACTAGTTCCAGCTAACTAGCACAGACGATAATAAGACAATTGTCTTGGAAAAACTGAAAAAAAATATACAAAACAAAGAGAGAGAAGCGGTTGTGCAAAAAATAAAGAAGCAAAGTAAAAAGCAATAAAGATGTGACACACATATTTATATACATTTTGTCAGGTCGAGGACAAGTTCTTAAAATGTTAAAGATACAACTTAAACCGTTTAAGTTAGAATATTTCTGGGAATGAAAAAAAAACTATTCGATTAATCATTTAAATTAAATTTCATGTTGAAGACACGAACTTATCTAAAGGATGATGACCTTTCTACAAGAGAGCGAAACAGCCGGAGCTAGTCTGTAGCTAGAACGAGTAAGATCCTCAAAGTTCAGTTGCCTAATGAACACATGTACGAGGTTCAGGGGATAGAAACATAGAGGGAAATATAAGAGTATTGGATGTCAAACTTCTTAAGAATATATGAGATACTCTTGACGAAGAGACGTCAACATCTTACCCAGTAATAAAACCCAGACCGTCCCTAACACATATCACTTAAACTTTGTCCATTTGATATATATACCCTACCTATTCCAATTTGAGCGAAATGTTTTGTTTATCTAGATAGTCTAACTATGATATTTACATGTGAAATAAATTATATCAACATGTGCCCACATAATTCTACAGGTGATTCAGGAACAATTGTTTTTAAATTTAGTTCCTTTCCTGCTCTTTGAAATATTTTGACCAAAACTCTCGAAATTCATTATGGTTGAAGCATATGAATGAAATCTGGGCAATATTAGACTACTTTCATATATATATTTCACTGGCAGAATCGGGGGAAAGGGTATCTACTCTTTGGCATTCTACAGAGAACTGTGCCTTCTTGTTTTCATATATCATGGACAAACTAGACCAACAAGTGAAAAACTGCGTCATATGTGTTGGTGGCACAACTTTTCACTGCACACACACACACATGTGAAGACACGCCACCTATCGGCGGGGCAAAGCGCAGCCAGACACGCCACCTAGACACGCCACAAGTACCCACAGTGGGTACTCATATTTAGCCTATTTTAGCTGGTTTTTTAAGCTAGTTGTGTTGCTTTTTTTTTGCTAGCAGCAACAGAAGTGAAACCCTTTAGCCTATAAAATGTGCGCACAACGCGCATGACCTCAACAATTTGGTTCACTTGAAGTGGCAAACGCACACGAACCTACACACAAATGGGCAAAAGACTCTGACTCTGAACCGAGGTCCTGTTGCGTGCCCCAACGAGTGCTCATTGTATATGTAAGTAGTTGCTGCTGTTGTTGTTGCTGTTGTTGCTGGTGTACTATTGCCATTGCTAAATGACCAAAGGCAGACCGAACTGACCCTCTGCCTGGGTCCCGTACTTTTGGGTCAGTTCAGTTGCGTTGAGTTCGTGACCAAAGGCGGGCGCGTTGTGTTCTATTCATATTTAGCAGTTTCTTTTTTTTAATATCACTTGCATTCTATGAATATGATTTGAAAATTGTGCGCTGCAACCAAAAACAACAGCCAACTGCAGTTCTATATATATATTTTTATATATAGAGTATATATAGTCGAGAGCAGCCATGGGCTGCGCCAGCAGCACTCCAATGGTGGCAACCGCGGGCAGTGAAATGCTAAAAGCCGCCACTCATGTGGCAGGCGATGTCAAGAAGCAAGGCGAGGCGGCTGTTGAAGGTGTGTGTGCCTGTGTGTGTGCCTGTGTGTGTGTTGGTTGACATTTAGAAGCGAGTGCATTCAGGCCGCAAATGTTAAACACTAGACGTATACTTAATATTTGCATAGTGCGTCGTGACAGCAAATCAATCGGGCATATTATTCATTAGCCTTATGAAACCAACCGCAATACAATACTCAACCTTTGACCCCATGCTTTCTATTGTGCTAGTCCCATCATAAAGAGCTCACATAATGAGCCTGGCCAAAATAATAATGTCAGCTAATCAAGCACAATTGAGCAGCAGCAAAGGCCAAAAAACTGCGTGTCCTGCGTTTCGACACGTTTTTTCCCTTTTTTTATGAGCACTACTTAATATATACACACACACACATACACACATATTTATACGCATATTTATGCATATATTACACACATATTTCTATTAAAAGCATATGAAGAAAAACGAGTTTTTTGCGTGACCAGCAAATTGGAGCAGACGGCCTCTGTTTTAAATAATATAAGTAGAAATTTACATATACGTGTTGCTGGCATTTCGCTGGGCCAATTGCCAAATTGATTGATTCATTCACTTTGGCAAATTACACGGCAAACAAGTGAGAGTCTATTTCATTAGATGGCGAAACCAACTAATTGTGGCCTTGCCACGCAAAGGACCTACGGCCATTTATAATTAGTTTTCCAGGTTGTATAAATGGGGAGAAATACCTTTAAAATTTGGAGCAGTGCCAGAGGCACTAAAGAATATGGTTCAGCCAATCGGACTAATTCTCTACTTCAGTTACTAGACTGCTCAGTTTTCTCTTAGATTCAAGATTATATATTGTACTCTTATTAGTTAATAAATAAATAATTCTGTGTTATTTAAGCCCACATTATTGATCAATAGTCGCTAAGGAAATGTCAAAAAATTGCTTTTGAAGTATATTTGTGCCTATTTGGATTCACACCTGACTCCATAGTTTGTCGAATTTATTGTAAGCTCGTAGACAGTATTAAGGAAAAAGCAGACGAGAACAGACATTTAAATACTTAATTATCGTCAATAAACGAGTGGGTTTAGCTATTTTTCTCCAAGTGCTTTTCCTTTAGATCATAAGAAAATTTCGATATGCAAAGGATCAAATAAAGTTGAAGCGAAATCAATCAAACATTTTGAGTTGTGGTCAAACTGTTTACAAAGAAACCAACAGGTATTTCTTATTATTAACAATAATTGTTTGACTTTTAGTGCAAATACACTTTCCAAATAATCTTCCTCTCAGTTAGTTCTGTATGCCCCAATAAGGAGCTCATTGATCATAAAAGGTCTAATTCCAAACATAAAACATCTCGTATATCAAAAGTATAAAGATCATAATCGTAAACCGATACATATCGATATTCAAACGATTCTTTGCGTTGATTGTTAAGACAATGTCATTCAATAATATGTGCTGTTCATTCAATAGTCCTTATTTAACCTTGAATTCAATGCATGGTGGTATATAAGTAATTTATGCAGGGTATCTTTTAATCTTAAAGTCCCGACACTACACATATCGATTGCAGGCAGCTTGATTGACAGGCAGGTTAACGACCTGATGTCGCCTATTAATTAATACGCCCGCGAATACCAGTGAAAACACAAATGTTTACTTATTGTCAACATTTTGTCATTTAGATGCCACCCAAGCGCTCAGTTCGACCATTGACACGGCCAAGGAAACGGTGGGCACCGCCGTGGCGGGCATCACCAATGAGCTGGGCAGCGCCTTTAAGGATGGCACCGATGCACTGGACGAGGCCAAGCACAAGGTAATGGAGGGTCTGCACTTGGAGGCAAAAGCGGACGCGGCGCCCACAGCCGAGCCAAGTACATCCAGAGCGCCCACGCCCGCGCTGGAGCCAGATGCGGACAGTCTGAAGACGTCGACGCCGGAGCCGGAGATCGAGCGAGCGCTGGCCAATGAAGAGGAGGCGCCGCCAACGCCAAAGCCATCGCTGCGGGAGCTCGCCGAGCTGAGCGCCCAGGCGATGAGCGACACGATTGCCGTGCCGCCAGCTGCCACAACTGTGGCAGCCACAGCGGAGGCAGTGGAGCGAGTGGAGGCAGCAGCGGCACATGCGACACTGGCGGCGGCGAGCGTGGAGTAAGTAAGCCTAGTGAGCACACCCGTTGCATAGAGCCCGTAGAGTCCACTGAATCAAACGTAGAAACTGTTGCACCCAGATGCATATAAGCGCGTAGTTTGTATTTTAGCTTTTGTAGTGCCCGTTTGTAGCTCAAAGTAAATACCTATCATATAATATTATATAATTATCTTATATATATATATATCCAACTACTCTCTTTTTCTCTCTCTTCAACAATGTGTAAATTGTAAATAAATAACTTTTATCTCTATGTACATATCATATACTCTGCATTTCTTATTATTGCGAGCTAGCAATTAGCTAACTAACAAGAACAACAGCAACAAGTCTTGTACGTAGTATTGGTAATACATAACTATATATCCTTATAAATACTACACACACCTACATATATACAAATCTTTGGCCTGTCGAATATTATAAAAACTCTTGCTTAACTATTGCTTAATGGAGTCAGAAATAGATCACTTTAAATTGGGTATCTGTGAGTTTAATTGTTGTCTGAAAATTATCGTAACTATCAAGAAAAGGAATTATCATGTCTATCAGGAAATATGTCTCTTTGTAACCACGGCAGCAAAAACAAGAATAGAATAGTCGGTGGGTCGCGGAGTTCATATACATACTCCATATATATATCCATATAAGAAAGTAATATATATATATGCATCAGGTCGGCCTATACTGCGTATAGTTAAATAAAGGGAAGGCCAGGATCTTAAGAGAAATAATATAATTTTTTTTATATTGTCTATTCGGTCTCGATTTTTTGGGTTCTATTAGTTTGTTTTTTTGGCAACTAGTTGGATAGCAACAAATTGATATCATTTTAGGGCTTTAGTCAGTTTAGTTAAAAAAAAATTTAAATTCTTGTTCAAAATAAAATTTCCAACTTAAACTTACCTTGACGCCCAGTCCGGGCGGGGACACCGATTCTCCGTTGTGTATTTGTAGTTCTTAACACAAAGCTCAGGTTAACGGAGCATCCACAAGCTAGCTTTTCGTAATGTCCATTTCTATAATAATCCTCCGCAGTTCCAATATAAATCATATAGAGTTTGGCAAGAGTTTTATCAAAAGCAGTTTTATCAAAGCACACAGAACAGCTGCCTGAAAAAAACAAAAGAAATCCGTATTAACATACATACACAAACGCACCCCGCCCACAAAAAACATTCCCCCTCCCCCCTACACACATGCACACATGCAGAAATCGTTGGCAGCAGAAGGAGAAGCAGCAGGAAGAGGAGGAGCTACGTCCCAGCACCACCGAATGGGAAAAGCTGGCCGATCAGCTGGCCAAGAGTCGCAAGTTTAGGCCCTACGAGAGCTTTGCGCATAGCCAAAATCACTTTTCCGTCTACAAGGACTACACCAGCCTGCGCGACAAGCCGGGCCATTACGATGGCCACTTCAGCATCGAGGGCAACTCACAGTCGAGCGCCTCCCAGTCGCAGTCGGACCTGTCCAGCGGGCAGCCGACACCAGCACCGCCCAGACGACGCGGCGGGCAGCGCGAATATGCCAAGTTCGTGGGCGCCGAGCAGCCGGTCAGTGTGTCGCGCGCCAGTTCGAGGCTCTCGAATGTGGGCGGCGGCATCCGAACCTTTGATTTTAATCCGCAACGCGAACGCATCAGTCTGCCCATTGCCAAGACCGTGGCCCCGACAACACGTGTCGGCAGTCGCTCCCTTTGGGCCAGGGGACAGCCGGCTGTGCTGCCCGAGGAGCCGGTCATATACAGTCCGGTTAGGCGCAGCAGCCTGGCCACAGGACTGGGTTTGCGCCCTGCTGCTGCTGTGGGAGACATTTACCAACTGCCCTTAGCCAGATCTACCTCGAACTTGTCCCGCTCCACATTGCCACGCAAGCAGAAGCCACAGTCCCGACTGTCCACGGCAGAAGCGCCCGTGCCAGGCAGTCGACGCGTCCTGGACTTAACCCACACAGAGATGGAGCCCATAAGAGCTGAGCGCATAAGCGTGCCACGACCTGTGCAACACGCCCAGGAGCGCAGCAAGCCGGCCAAAGATCAAGCCAAGCACCAGCTAAGTGAGACGCTCAAATCGATGCTGGACTCGTCAAGAGACATCAGTGCCGCGCTGCTGCTGGCCACGCCCTTAACGGTTAAATCGCTGCTGCACAGCCCCTCCGCAGCGGATCAAACCGACACCAGCTTTAAAACGCCAACGCCCGCACGTGCCACAACAGCTGCAAAACGTGGCAACGGCAAATCAACTGACAAACAGGCCACGCCCAGCAGAACGCCTTCAATGCGGTCTCCTGCATCATTTACAAAGCAGCCGCTAGAAGATGGAACACATGTCCTGCCCAAGTACAGCACAACAACAACGCCTCAGAGAATTAACTCGTTGCCACACTCACCTCAAAGAGCCAAGCCGCTTGCTGCTGCTGCAATCTTTAGCGCAACTGTCACCAAATCGCCAGCCGCCTCGCGTGCCTCTTCGCGCCTCTCCTCCAACAGCAGCAGCACTGAGGTGGTCATCAGACCCTTGAGTCATCTGAACACGCCCAGCGCCGTCTCGCTGTCGCCCGATCAGGTTGTCATGTTGGAGTACGATGACAGCGACTTGGAGGCAGCCCTGGCCCGGCTAGCCGACTGGCGTGGCTCGACCATAACGTTGCAGTCCATGCGTTCCGGCAGTTCGCGTTTGGATCGCAACTCAACTGCCTCGCGACGCACTTCACCCTGGATTAGACGTCAAGTGGAGCACAATGGCAGTCAGGAGTTGAAAGGCTTCGGCAGTTGTGGCATAATCGAGCTGACCTCGCCAGCTAAAGCAGCTCCCCAGCTGCTCGAGCGCTGTGAAATCTGTTATAATGAATTTGTGATGAAATAGATAAATATTAGAAAGAGTTTTCCAAAATTATAAATGTTTTTTAAATTAAATGCTTTCGGAATTTGTGAAATGCTATTTAACTAAGTTATTTAAAATTTATTAAATTATTTAGATAGTTTATTTATTAATTAAATAAGATGATTTCATGAAAATCATATAAACTATTTTTCATGATTCCAAATATTAGGAAAAAGCTAAAAGTTAAATGCTGTTATAAAAAACTCTTATTATTTTTATAACTCTAAATATTGGGAACAATAATTTATATAATTCAAAATATAAATTAAATGCTTCCATTAAATTTCAATATTTTTCTATAGTTCCAAATATAAAACAATTTATATAAATTTTTATCCTCAGAAAAATCGAAAATGGTTTCATATACATAGTTCCAAAAAATTAGATAAAATAATTTATATAATTCAAAACAAAAATTCGTTCATAAATGTTAAATTTATTTTTTATATTTTCAAATATCATTATTATTTTTTACCATTTATATATTTTATTTACGTGCTCTATTAATTGGCATAATTAACATTATTAACACAATTATAAAAATTTGCTACGTTTTTTTTTTGATTCATTAAACCAAACATTAAAAATTTGCCACTAAAAGCTAACTGCCATTTAATGCGAAATAATATTTATTACGCGAATTAGCTTCCAAATATTATTACCGAAAAATTATTATACTAATAATAAACCGAATACCTATAAAAACAATTATTGAAATAAGCAACCCAGCGATTTTAGTACCTCGAAATGAAATATTGAATTAAATTGTAAGACATAAATAATATATCAATATACATGCTTTGAGCCAAAGAAAGCCTTCAAAATAAATCTAACTATGAATAACTAAACACAGTCAATTTCAATAAAAAGCAACGGCATTTATGCTCTGTTTTTGTATTTGTTAAAGCAAAAACAAAAATGTCTAAGAACACGGCAAATCATAATTTACGCTAAATAAAAGGCAACCCATTTACTTGAACAACAGATTTCGATTAACATGGCATTTACATGAAGTTTACATGTGCTAATCATTAACATTAGCATTGGATTTAACATAAGCGCTGTTAAAAGAGATGTAAACAAAGTGAAAAGTTAATTAAACATTAAAATATATCGCTGAGTGTAACAAATGGAAAATCTGTAGCAGGCCTGTAATATTTTATTCAAGAAAATCTAATTTTAATTAATTTTACTCCGAATTACTAATGCAACAAAGTACCAATTGTCACAAGGGTCAACTAATAATAAAATACAGCCCCCCATTAAAATAAGGCCAATTTGAAGTAAGTTGGCGAATTAACCTTTATAGCCGAATGTATGTATAAAATTGTAAGATCTGTTTTGTCTAATTGATGACTTAATAACAAAAGAGCTAAAATTGAATTGTTTATCTTTGCCGTTCACTCAATTATTCTGCCACTCGGAGTTTCGTTTTTTGTGTTTTATGTTCGTTTTATGTTTCATGTTTCACGTAGCACATGCGCCACGTCTGCCGTCCGTGACTTAATGAACTATTAACAGCAATGATAGTAATTTGTTGTAGCAGCCGCAGCCGCAGTCGCAGCAGCCTGGCAAGGCAACAAATGAAATTGCTTTCAGGCAACAACAGCAACAACAGCAACAACTGCAATAACAGCAACAACAACAACAACTTGTCTTCATGGCACTTTTTGGCAAACAAATAGACAATTCAACAAAGCGACATGCAGACAAATGACTACAGCAGAGACTACAGCGACAAGCAGTCGGCCAAACGAATACGAATGCGAATACAAATACGAATACGAATGCGAATACGAATACTTATTTACAGATAGTCAAGCATTTTGCGGGGGTGTCATATCGTTAGACCCCGTCGCACCTGTAGCCAGCAGCAGCAGCAGCGGCAGCGGCAGCCGTCGCACTCGCAATTGGCTTTGCAACTATTTTGGCACGATTTTCAAATTACGTACATTGACTCGCAAAATGTTTGGTTTATGCCGCAATTAATTTCCAGGCGGAAGAAGCAGCAGCAGCAACAGCAGCAGCAACAGCAGCGGCGGCGGCACAAGTGGCCCCCAGAGTTAGTTCAGGTGGAAGTGGAAGTGCCTGCTGCTTGTGTAGGCGGTTGTAGCTAAAAACTAAAGTTGAAGGTCTTCTGTTTCTGTTTGTGTTTGGGTTTTAGTTTTTGTTTTTTTTTTTTTCGTGGCGTGACATTGAAAGTGAAAGAACAAGTTTTGTACGCTGCGGCGGCGGCGGGCATTTCTATTTTTAATGACGCTGACTTTTACAAGGCAGCTAACTGACTGACTGACTGTCTCGGCTGTGTGGCTGGCGGTTCATTGAACGCGCCACGCATACGTGGCAGCCACAAGCGGCAGCAACAGCAACAACATAAAGCACAACTAACGCTAATGATCTATGAAGTGTAAGTGTTTTTGTACTTTTACTTTCATTTATCATAAATGGAGGCGTCATTTGTGCTCAAGACATTTGAAATTAGCAATGCACCGAAAACTACATTTTAGCACTTCATTTGTGTTTCGTTTTTCTCTTGTGGTTGTTGCCGTGTGGTAAAACTAGCTTTTAATCAAATTTACATGCGCCAACAATGTTTATGCCATACGCACTGTGGGCCGTGCCACAACAGCGGCGCCAGCTACAATTTTTTTTTTTGGTTTTTTTTTGGTGTAAAATTGATTTATGCAATTGTTTGTTAGCCACCAGCTGATTTGTTTATATGTGCAACGACAGCAACAACCAGTAACAACAACAGCAGCAACAGCAGCCAGGCAAATCAATAAGTTTATGCAACATGCGGCTGATTGTAGATTTTTGAGCGATAAAATCAAAAAGACAGCCAGAAGACAATGGCCGTAACCGAGTTGCAGGCTTCCGCTACAAGTTGTTACAATTATACGAACAGGCCGAACAGCAACAGCCAAACACTTAACAGCAACAGCTAACAGCGCTGTTAACCCGCTGTTGACATTAACATTTTTCGACCAAAATTGCTCGCACTCAAAAAGATTGAAACTCAAAAGCTTTTTGGCAGCAGCGCATGCGAATTTTCAATTAATATTGCAACTGGATAGTTGCAACTGGCAACTGGCAATTGGGTAGCTGGCGGAACGCGACGCACTTGGTCTGAGCTGAGTTGGCAGAGCTGGCAAAATGGCAATCATTTGTTAGGCAAACATTTCTACAATTGGCGGCTGCTTTCGTTTGGCCTTTTGCGCTAACATTTTGCATAACGGCGGGTCAAGACGGAAATGGAAGACGTTCGCCAGCCATTAATAATTTTTATTATACGCGCCAGCAATGCCTTGGCGACGTGGACATCTTCAATGCGTTTCGAGAGCCTTTTGTTTTTAATGGACTGAGCAGAAAACGTGCCCCGGCCACAAGCCAAACAGACAAACCACAAGCCGCAGCATGCAACACACACACACACACATAAACATCTGCTTTTTATCTGACTGCGCCTGCGACTTTACCTTTTACAGTGCTTTCAGTTGTTTATCTTTTTTGGCTGGTATTTCGGTAGCCGTATGGCATAATCCAAATTAAATTGTCAAAAGAAATGACAATTCAATATACAGCAAAACAACAACAACAACAACAACAGCAGCTACAAATCTTGTTAAGCAAATGCGAAGGAAAATTGGAAAGAAACATAAAGCACTCTGTCATCTTTCTCCCTCCAAAAGTCAAACTTGGCGAGCGTAAAAAGCGAAATGTCAAATTAAACTGTCAGAGTTAACTTTTAACCCATTTTTTGTTTTGTTTTTTGGGCTATTACATAAGCTACTTATCAGCTCTGATAACTGGGAAAACTCAAAGTGCATAAATATGTGCATGAAATATTAATGGGCAGTTGTGTGTGTGTGTGAGTGGGTGAGTGTGTGTGTGTGTGGGTGCGTAGGTGTCTTGTGCGGTCAAGCGCATAAATCAGTGCGACAGTTAGACATATTCAAGCATTGCAAGCGGCCATTCGTCCATTCGGGCATTCGCTCATGCGTCAGCAAACAAAAGACTTAGGCAACGAACGCGCGACACTGTTGCAACCAAAATGCGTTTTATGGCTGAGACCTACTTGCCACGGCACATGTGGCAACAGCTGCATCTGGAACAAGCATATTCTTAACCATATGTCTGCGACTATAACTATTCGGCTCTGCCACAGCCACAATCCCAATCCCAATCCCAGTGTCTGCCTGTTCCAAGCTGAACTGCGCTAATTCGTGACTACTTTGTTGTACATTGTTGTTGCTATTTTTTGTTGTTGTTGCTATTGTTGCTGTTATGCTGCTGCCAAGCAAAAGCCCTACATTTAACAATAATAGCAAAAAGAATGGAGCATATGTTAAGCGAAGAGTGCATGCACTTTGCAAATTAAGAGCAAATGTCATATAGAGAAGTGGAAAATAAATTACTTTTGTATAAATCACAGAATTATTGAGATCTAAAAAACAAAACTAGGCCTACAAATTTTAAAACAGGCCAAAACTAAAAACCAAATATTGCCTGTCTTAATTAAAGTTTCTTAACTTAAAAATTTGTGTAATTTATTAGTTTCTTTGATGATTATTTAAATTATTTGCTTAAATGTTTGTTACTTTATATATAATATATTATTTCTTTATATTGTTTTTATGAATTAGTAAAAACATTTTTACTATCAATATTAAAAGCATAAATTATTTATATCATTTATTTTTAAACTTTATAGAAATTGTACAGAGAACTTCAACTTTTGCGCACGCTCCTCCAATTTCTTACTTATAAAAGAAGGCAGATCAAAACTTGTATTGTTGCTTATATCTTGAGCAAATATTTAGCTACAAGATCCTCTACAATATACAAAAGTTTTCGTTAAAATAAATCACGAGCTTTTCACCCCCTCTTCGATCTTGGGCTTGAATATTTATCAAACGATTAATAATGAATCGAATGAATTTTCAGTAAGATCGGCATAAATACAAGTAGATCGGAGGAAAACTTAAGATTTATATGAATACACAAGTCATTTTTTGCGCCCCATTATCAATTAGGAAATTTATTTCTACTTAA